CTGGCTTCCATGGTGATGTTGGTGGTGGTGTTCACGGCGGTGGTGGCTCTGGCTTTCACGGTGATGTCGGTGGTGGCGTTGTTCACGGCGGTGGTGATGTTGGTGGCGTTGTTCTGGCCGACGGCGTAGGTGAGATGCCGGAACATGACGCCGGTGCCGCGGAGCACCTGGACCGTTGACGCCGACCTGTTCTCGGCCCCAACCACGATCCATAGCAACGGCGGCGGGACGAGCCGCAGCGTGTGCCCAAGCCTTGTCAGCGACGCCTCCTGCGACACAACGTCGTCGTCCGGCCGTGTGACGGTGACGATCAGCAGGAGGCCGATGTCGGGGGCAGCAGGGGCCGACGGCGGAGCCACTCGCTGAACACCGCCAAACGGAAGAAACGAGGCGCGGATGCCGTCGATCAACGGGCCGCGGGTGGCGACCAGCGGTGCGAAGGCGCCGACGACGAAGCAGACGGCGAGGTGGACGACGGCGGCCTTGCGCTTACTCCATCGCTGCGCCCTCCTCCTGGACCTCTCCACGGAGTCCATCCCCAGCTACTTCTGCTGCTTCTCCTCTCCCTAGCTGCTCTGCTGCTCTCGCCTGAACTTCTTCAGATAGATGGAAGCAGGAGAGCTCTGAGATCGCCGGATTGAATCTGGTTGAACGGAGGAGACGCTGAGCTTGGCCTATAAAGGACAGAGGAGGAATTCGGTGCTGGCATGGTTGACTTGCCAACTACTGCTGCGACTTGCTAGCACGACTGTATTTGACAATTCCGATATGTTTTCGAACGTCAACCCTCTCAAAGTGCGATGCAAAAAGACTGTCGGTGCACGTCTAAGTAGTATCCTGAGCTCTTCTGAGCTGCCAAATTAGCAGCGTGTCCCTATGCACATTACTTAGTGGCAGTCAACGGAAATTGCAGAAACAACAATGGAACGAAACAACAATAGTAGTGTACAACGCATCGGAGTTGCGAAGCAGAACAGCAGAAATGTGCCATCTGTTGCACCGTCTCTGGAGCACATCTGGCAGTTCTGTGGTAAAATCAGTTCTCCAAAGTCGTGCCGGTGCTCGGACGCCTCGGTGATGGAGTCGCGCGAAAGTTTCAGGTGATAAGCTCAAGTGATACCGTGATACGAGATTGAAAGATAGAGTACGTGAGGAGCTCTTGTACCTGGAGCCGTCAGATCCGAGATCCAATGGCTATCATGAGCCCGCATGATGGTATCACCTAAACCTCGATATCACCTGATATTTTTCCGCCTCTAACGCTGACCCATACACCTCCAGTCCGTGGACACGAATGCGGAAGCAAGCCACTCAACCTTCCCCCGCACATATTTCAAAGTGGATTTCAACAAACCGGACAGGATTCATGCAAACACAACGGAATTCAGTAAAGTTTGGACATAGCTTATAGAAAATAACCCGTAACACTCAAAGTAATTATAGAAATAGCACGATTCATTCATTCAAATATCTCTAGCACAACAATAGTTCAAATTCAACGAGATAATCAGATATGAAACAAGTTTTTTAGAATCATCTATTCTAGAACTGGCACATGTCGTCCCACACAAACTGCCCCTTGAGTTTCATCCTACAATGCATGTGTGTGAATGACCTGCCCTCAGTCTTGTAGTACGTCATGACACCATAGAGTAACAGAAAGCAACACTTACAATCTCGATGGTTGACGCGCCCAATGGCCACCTTGTCTCCTCTTGGTGAATGGCACCGCAAAACTTCATGAAGGAATTGCAGACGTGTACCATCGATGCGTTAGCGACTTCACATTGCGTGCGTTGATGATGTGCATGTTGTAGGGCACGAAGTCCTTTCGCTCACGAAACAAAGCATCCAAGCTTTGCCAAAAGGTCAGACCCTTGTTCATGCCTACAAAGTACTCAGAAAAGACTAACCATGCATCGTACAATAACTCTTCCTCGTACATTGAGTACCCCGCCATCGTGCTTCTCTAGAAAACAACAAGAAGTTCAAGAAAAGCTCAATGACATTTGACCGAACACCTATCGGGCGTGACAAGAAATGTGAGGGTACACAAGAAATGAGTAGCCAGATAGCAGAACAACCAAGATTGTTAGTTGCACAACTGAAACAAAACATACTACAACAATGCATCCTGTTAAATCTGAAGTGCAGTATCAAACTTGCTCCACTAGTAAGCAGCATTGAAGTAGTATTCAACATAAATCAGGATATAAGCTGCATAGATAAACATGTGCAACATGCAAACCGATAAACCAATACAGTAGGCAAGATCAACAACATCAAAGGTCCAACCTCACATAGGTTGATGCATTGCTCCAGCAGTTGAGACTGCTACTCCAAGGTGGGACTAAACAATGCTGTTGCTCAAGCCTGAAGGAGATGCAGGCTGTCGCAGTAGAATCGAACAAATGAAACGCCCAAAGACCAATGGAGTTTCTCAGAATTGCACACTATTAGAGCATTTAACACCTTTGCATGAGATTTCTGGTTCGAAAAAATGTAGGCTATCAGTTTTATTGTACTAGTAGTTTCTGCCCAGGAAACAAAACATCTCTGAAAGTTTTTTCAAGTTTATGAAAATCAGCTGTCTCAGCAAAGTTTAGCACAAGATTGAGAAAAGTTGCATACAAAGAATGAACGTTGCAACCAAGGGAATAGATTGGCATCCCAGAAATCAGATGTCTCTAGCGCAATTGCACGAATAGAACGAGGGCATTGCAGTTCTGATCTCTAACCACATCGATTTGCAGATTGATGGTCGGCGCAGGGGAACTTCGATCACATCGCGTCGAGCACGCCGCGACCGTAGAGCTCAATGGCGTGGCGCATGTTGCTGGCGGCCTCGACCGCCTCGCCGGCCTCGGCCACGGCTCTGCGAAGGAGCTCCTCGGCCTCCTGCGATGTGGCGGCGTCCCACCACAGCAACCCGAGGACGTAGTCTACGCACGACGACGCCGACCACATGAGGTCGAGGGCAGCGCGCCCGTGGCGCCCGGCATCGGCGCGCGATCCCTCCCAGGACTGCGACGGCGGCCCAGTGCTGAGGCCAAGCTGGAGGCCGGCGAGGAGGAGGAGATTGGCCACCTCGTCGTTGGTCGTGAGGACGCGGGACACCGCGGTGTGTGCCGCGACCAGCGCGCGAAGCGCTGCGCTGTACGTGTCGGCGGCGGCCTTCTTGGCGGCGGAGGACCTCACGGCGCTGACGCACTTGCGGAGCTCAGCGTGGGCCGCCTCGAGCTCCGGGAGGTCGGCGCATCCGCGCAGCAGCGCGCTGGAGCGGAGCACGCCAGGGCCTTCCACGCCTTGTCGTGTACCTCCTCCCGCTTGGCGCTGGGGTGCTCCGAGGCCGCCGCCGCTGGGCGCGTGTTGGAGTGGGCGCTGCGGTGCAGGGGACGATGGGGAGGCGCGAGGTCGCCGCGGATGCGCAGGGCGTCGTCCACCCCGTGGAGGTGCTCCGAGGCCGCCGCCGCGGCTCTGGTGGCGGCGAGAAACTCGGCTCGGAAGTAGATGTCAGGGAGGTCGCCGCAGGCAACCAGACGTGCCGCGGCTCCCAGGTGGCCGCGAGA